TCTCTCACACACACACACACACACACACACACACAATATAATTGTAATTTTAAAGCTATAAAAACAGAAAGATTACATGAATTGGTCAGGTTATGGCATCCCAGGGGTGTTTGTCTGCTTGTTTCCTTCTGCAGAACCAGGAACTAAGGTTTCCTGCCTGCAAGGCAAGTTCCATACCACTGAGCCTCAGGAGTCTGTTGAATTTTCTCTAACTTCTGCAATGGAATTCTCAGACTCTGAAGTGAAGAGATCCTTCAGGTGACAACAGTTGAGAGTAGGCCAACAGGTCCTAAGAGCTATAAAAGCAGTGCGTGCTCCAGCACAGGTGGGAAGTATCTAATGGGCCTCTTGAAACCAGCCTGGAATCCAATCTAGGACTCCAGAGTGTGGTGTCTGAGAATTTGCATCTTAATAAGATCCAGTGGGTCTGAGCTAGGCTTCAAATTTGCATGTCAAAGAAAGTAGCCGGGGCCTGTAGATAAAGTCTTTTGGAAATTTTGCCTGAAAACCACTTAGAATAAAATAATAAAAAATGGCTAGCATCCTGATCCCATAATGTGGCACTCCTATGATTCAGCCCTGTGGGAGCCAGAGGCAGGAGGATTCCTACAACTTCAAAGCCAGGCTGTTGAGTGCCAGGCTGCCTAAAGTGGCATAGTAAGCAACCTTGTCTAAGACAGAACAAAAGTCGAAACTTTGGTCTTCATTTCTCCTTTTTGCAGACAGAGGCCAACATTGGTACGCTTCATCACAGCTCAACCCAAGAAGTTTTGGAGTGGGGAGATAGCAATTTATAAAGTTACATTTACTATTTATTGATTTCTTTCTCCCCTTAGACAGTCTCACACAGTAGCCCTGGCTGACCTAGAACTCAGAGATTCTCCTGCCTCAGCCTCCTGGATGTTGTGAGCCAGCATGCCCAACCAAAGTTGATTTTAGATGCTCAGAAATGCTTATAGCAAGAAATGCCAGCACTGGTGTGAACTGATTTAGGATTCAAAGTTCCAAAGTGCAGAGATTGAGGCAGGGAAATATTTGAGTTGGAGGCTGGCCTGGTCTACACACTGAGTTCCTGGGCAGCCAGGTCTGCCCTGTCTGGAAAAACAAAACAAACAAACAAAAATTCCAGGCTACCTACTGAGACACGAGAGGTGTGGGGGTGGGGATGGTGTTGCAAGCTTTATAATCCTAGCACCTTGGAGGCAGAGATAGGAAGAGCTCTCCTGGTTGAGACCAACCTGGGCTACACATCAAGTTTCTGAACAACCAAGACTACACGGAGTCTCTGTATTGTCTATGAAATGATCCACAATTATATATCCTTAAATTCCATATATATGTATATATAAGTGTATCATATGTGTGTGTGTATATATACTATAAAATATCCATCTTTTAAAGTATGTGTAACAAACACATCTTTATTTAGCAGCATTTATTTTTCTTAAAGGTTTTATTTATTTATTATATGTAAGTACACTGTAGCTGTCTGTAGACACCCCATAAGGGGGCATCAGATCTCATTACGGATGGTTGTGAGCCACCATGTGGTTGCTGGGATTTGAGCTCATAACCTCTGGAAGAGCAGTCAGTGCTCTTAACCACTGAGCCATCTCACCAGCCCCTATTTAGTAGCATTTAAAATGAAACAGTTTTCAAAGATTTAAGATGAAGCAGGCAAAGGAAACGTTCTAGTTAATTAGTAATTAACTAGCAGTTGGAGGGTTACTACCTGTCTGTTCCAGAACTTTTTTTTTTTTTCGAGACAGGGTTTCTCTGTGTAGTCCTGGCTATCCTGGAACTCACTCTGTAGACCAGGCTGGCCTCGAACTCAGAAATCCGCCTGCCTCTGCCTCCCAAGTGCTGGGATTAAAGGCGTGTGCCACCACCGCCTGGCTGTTCTAGAACATTTAAACCCAGTTTACCGGTCACTAGCCATCTCTGAGGATGTAATAAACAAAACAGAAATAAAATCCCTGATATTTCAGGAAACCAAATAAAATCTACAGCCTTTTTTTTTTTTAATCTTTCTGTTTTATGACTGGGGCTAACTTGCAGTGTAGACTAGGGCTGGTTTAGAACTCAGAGATCCACCTGCCTCAGCCTCCCTGGAACTGGGATTAAAGGTGGGTGCCACCACTCCCAACCAGCCTTTCTAGTGTTTTTGAGCAGGATTAGCATCAACATGAGTAGGCGAAAGGTAATCCTCCAGTAAAAAAATCTCGCCTTTAACTCAGGTGGATCGCGAAACCACTGCTTCATTAGCATTAAAGTAGCCTGGAGGGTTGGCTTACTCAGTATAAAAGGAAACCAGCCCTCATTTGAGGACTCACTTCGCCTCTGCTAGTTGGGACTTGGGTGAGGGTAGTTTTGCTCGGTGCTAGTTTTTGAGGCTTCTGCTCAACTGCCATGGAGGAGCCATTAGAGGAAGTCGGCCCAGTTGAGGACCCAGAAACTTCTCAGATGAAGGATGAAGAGAACTCATCCTGTGATTCAGGTAAACCGCCTTCGGCCTTTCTGCCCGGAGTTTTGGGAAGCCAGGCGGCCCCCTCTTCTTCCCTTGCTCGGCTAGTAAGCGGCTGGTGTTATTGAGCCCACCCAACACTGGCTAAGTGGAGGACCAAGGGTTTCAGGCCATCCTTAGAGAGCACGCTGGTAGTCAGTGTGGACTACAGGAGACCCTGTTGTGAGTGACTGCTGAGAGGCAAACCCAAGCCAGAGGTGACTTGGGTGGGGGTGAGGGTGGGGGTGGGGATACTGGTTCGTAGAATTAAAAAGAACCAGTAGGGAGTTAAGACGGTATCTCGGTTGCGGGATTTTTGAGGCTCTTAGACCACGTTCGGAGACTGGGTTGTATGGTTGGGTAGCATTTCCTCATCAGCAATTGGTCTCCGGTGTGTTTACTTTGATTTGTTTTTAATTTTTTTAAATATATTTTGGTGTTTGAGGCAGCTGTGCTTGGATTAGAATTCCCTATGTAATTGAGAATAGCATCCCCAAATCCTAGGTTAAAGACTTGAATGGGAGCCGGGCAGTGGTGGCGCATGTCTTTAATCCCAGCACTTGGGAGGCAGAGGCAGGCGGATTTCTGAGTTCGAGGCCGGACTGGTCTACAGAGTGAGTTCCAGGCCAGGGCTGCACAGAGAAACCTTGTCTCGAAAAGCCACAAAAAAAGAAAAAAGACTTGAATGGAGTGCAGAAGGCGGGGGCGTTGTTTGTGTTTTAGCACAGAAATCTTTTGGTTGAGGCCAGGCCTCACTCTAGTCCTGGATATCCTGGAACGCAATGTTGTAGCTCAGGTTGGGCTCATCTCGATCCTCCTGCCTCGGTCTCCAAAGCGCTAGCTAGGATTGGAAGTGCAGCGCCACCGCCCCGATGTAGCTTTATTTTAAACACAGGAGTCTTGTTTGTCTCTCAACACTTTCTCTGTAGCTCTGGTTGTCCTGGAACTCTGTAGACCAGGCTGGCTTGGAACTCGGAACTCGGGGAAATCATCTTTCTCTCTGCCTTTCGACTGCTGGGATTAAAGGCAGTGCCACCTCCGTGAGCTACATTGGAATCTTTTAAGCTTTAGTTGAACCTGGGCTTTTTCTTATTCTCACCCACTTTCTGGGAGCGGCTTTCCAGCTAAATTTCCAAGTAAATGGCTCTTCAAGGGGAAATAGCCCAGGATAGGCTGAGTCACGTGCTACACGGGCCGGGCCGCTCTTCCCTACCCAGCAGCTGAAGTTGAAGCTCATCTCCAGATGGCCTAGTAGTTTGCTACCTCCAGGCTGAGGGCGTGGCTCGGGAGGAGCCCTCCCCTCCTAAGAGGAAAATGTTTTGCCTTGAATCTGCCCTAATACCTGACAATCACATGGGACCTCTTTATTTCCACGTGATAATTCTTTAGCCTTTGTTTGGGGGCTTTTTAAATCTTGAGACTGTTCAGCCCCTACTGGCCTAAAATTCACTGGCCAGGCAAGACCCAAATCCCTTCGGTGTCCTAAACGCTGGGTGGCTGGCTAGCTCAGCCTTGTCACTTTGCTTTAATGTTCTGGAGAGTTGTAAGTTTCCTGTGTAAGACAAGACCATCTACTAAGTGGACGATTGAAATGAGGAGACCCGAGGCTGGTTTCCCAACATACCTTGTTTACATAGATGTCCAGAAGCATTTGAGCAGGTCAATTTGATTTAGGTGGAAAAATGAACAGTTTTTGGAAAGTTTTCCAGAGCTGAAGCCAGAGAGGCACTATTGGGCAAGCCCTGCAGCTAAGCCACATTCCCAGCAACACAATTGACTGCTGAGTGTCTGGGAGAGAGAAAGGCATACACATGACAGACGCACATGTCTGATAAGAGACAGAAGAGAGAATATACAGGTCTCAGAACCTCTGAACATAACTGAGTTACAGACATCTAGGCTGCTCTAACAATGTTGTACACAGAACAACTCGTGGTAAAGAAGCTCAGTGGATCTCTACACACTAGGATATCTGCCTAGGGTTTATGAGCATGTCCTGTGCATGTGATTTGCTTCCTGTTGGCCCCTCTCTTGAAGAGGGAATACCTGTTGCCCACTTCCTTGTTTCTCTGGTGTATTGCCTTGCCAAATGCTATACCTCACTAAGATCTCCCATCTTCTATTTCAGAAGTCCTAGAACCAGAAACACTGGTAAAGGTCATGAAAAAGCTAACCTTGAAGCCCGGTGCCAAGGGGCCAGCACGTCGTCACCGTAGGCTCCGTCACCTGGTTGAGAGCAAACCTGTGGAGAACAAAAGTGAAAAAATCCGGAGGGAAGTTCAGAGCGCCTTTCCCAAGAGAAAGGTCCGCACATTGTTGTCAGTGCTGCAGGATCCTATAGCAAGGATGAAGAGAATGGCTCGGGTAAGTTAGTGGCATTTGTGGACAGGGCTCTTTCTTAGAGCAACTCCAGCCTCTCAGGAATGACACTTATTATATAAGCAGGGGGAATATAGACAATGGTAGTAACTGCTTGTAATTCTCAGCTCGAGAGAATCTGTGCAGTCTTGAGGCTGGCCTGAACTATATGCAAATATGTGGTGATAAGCATCAGTCACTCCATATAACACTATGTTTTGAGAGTTGAGGTCCCCCCCAATAGTCCAAACTGGCCCTCCCATTCAGTCCACAGTCCTGCCTCTTCTCCAGTGCTGGAATTGCAGGCTTTTGAGCAGCCCTACAGACTAACTTAGACTGGATCTCAGAGCTGAAGTAAACCTGTTACTTACTCTTTGTAGACCAGGCTGGCCTTAAACTGGGGTGGTCTTCCTGCCCTTGCTTTCACTGAGCCTAGCAGTGACAGCTCACATAGTAGGTGTTTTTTTAACTTTGTCTTGATAGTTTTGAATAATTTTGGTTTTGTTTTTCTCTTAGATTGAGCAGAGACAAAGAAGGCTTGAGGGCAAGGAGGTAAATACTCTTGTTAATTAATGCATGGGTGGGTTGGGTATCTGTTTCATTGTTCGGTTTAGACAAGGGGTGTGCTTGTGAGGAGTTATCTTCTCAGCCTCCAGGAATTCTGGTTATTGTTTAATAGATGGGAATTTATGTTTCTCTGGGTTACAATATCCTGCTTTTTTTTTTTTTTTCAGTACAAAGGGAAGAATGAGTCATTCAGATGTCTCTGCACTTTCTGCCATTATCAAGGATGGGATCCTTCTGAGAATGCTAAAATCGGGAAGATCTAGGACAATTGTGCACTGTCCTTCCTGTTAATGCCGCACAGCAGATGCAAAAGCTGTTTTTTTGTTTTTTAAGATTAAACATTTCCTGGTGCTGGAGAATCTTCTGACTTGTTAGCCTTTAAATTATATAGGATGTGTGACGTTTTGGATGATGTGTGCATGACTTAAATTGACCCAAAGAATGAGAGAATGAGTCAAAACATTCTGAAAACTTTAGAAGCCCGATGCTGAGATACCGATGCTTAAATAGAATTTGGAGTAGTTTGGTTTTAGAAGGTCATTGGAATAGGTCTTTGGCTACTCTAGTTTGTAATAAAGGCAATTTTGTTATCTTGACTTTTTGTAATAAATACACAGAACAGAGATTAGAATGATACCTTGGAGATGGGGGAATTGTTTTTACATGTGCATGTGGGTGTGCACACTCCAGAGTTTGACATCAGTATATTTCCACCCATGGGCTCTTAACTCAGGTTGTCAGGCCAGTGCCTTTTCCCAACCACTGAGCTATCCAGCTGGCCTCTTGTTTTACATTTTTGTGTTTGATGTGTGCTACCAACCCTGCTTATTTTTGAGACAGCGTCTCCATGAGGTATAGCTGGTTGGTCTCTTAGCTTCCTGGTCTTGCCTATGTTTCCCAAGTTTTGACACCATAGGCATCAGGAAGATCTGGAAAATGCTTGTATTTTGTTCATGCTGCATCATAAAACAACTGGTTGATATATTCCTAGTGATATTGTCTCACTAGAAGGACAACCAGAGCATAATATTTGCATGCTTTAGTTTCCTGAAAGAAGTGTCAGGAAAGGAGTTAGGGAAGAAGGCTCCCAAGAACTCACTAAGCATCCAGAGGTCTTTCCTTGGGGTCAGGTAGCTAATGTAGCTTAGGTCAGCTAGGTGTCTTGATTAAACTCAATAGAGGTTAGCTCTGCCCTCCTCAGGGCACCACTTCAGGTGTTATGATCCCAGGGTTGTAGTGTTGAGGTTCTATATTGTAATCTCCTGCCCCTGTGCTATGGAAGAGTTATTTGCTAGAGCAGTGTGTACACCTGAGCAAATGCTTCAGGACACTTCAAAGCATGCAGGTGAGCAGCCAGATGGAAAAGATACACACGGCCCAAGCTTGGGAGGGAGAGGAGAGCACGTTTCTTTCAACCACTTTGAACCTGTGGAGTTGCTTCTCCTTTGTAGGTCTGAGCTGATGAGGCTTGGTAGACCCCTTTGCCCCCCAGGTTGAAGTCTGCGAATGTTAGCCTTAGGTTTGCTATGGAACAAAAGAATGACCCTGACCTGATCCTCTTGTGTTAAATATTGAAATTACAGTTAGGGACTACTGTAACATGCATGTAACTAGGAAAATCTTGCTGCACTGAAGTTACAACTTTGGCCCTAGGTGTAATGAGATGGCTCTAGGTATAGGAGCTTGCTGCCTGGCCCATCAGAGACCCATTGGAAACAAGCTTGCAAGTGGTCCTCTGACTTCCACCTGAGCACCTTGACAAACCAAAAACAAGTGCAATTAAAGACAGCTGCGTGTGGTGGTGCACGCCTTTAATCCCAGCACTTGGGAGGTTCGAGGCCAGCCTGGTCTACAGAGTGAGTTCCAGGACAGCCAGGGCTACACAGAGAAACCCTGTCTTGAAAAACCAAACAAGCTGGGCGGTGGTGGCGCACGCCTTTAATCCCAGCACTTGGGAGGCAGAGGCAGGTGGATTTCTGAGTTCGAGAGTTCGAGGCTAGCCTGGTCTACCGAGTGAGTTCCAGGACAGCCAGGGCTACACAGAGAAACCCTGTCTCGAAAAACCAAAAAAAAAAAAAAAAAAAAGAAAAACCAAACAAAAAGTCCTGGTCTCATGTTTTAAAAAATAACTAGTTCCAAGTTCTATTTGACTTGGAGGTCTACGGAGTCAAGCACATCCTGGCAGGTTGTTTGCCTCATCACCCCTTCATTAGTGTGAAGATATTCACCATCACTGTCCACTGAGGTGTAATCCATTTTCACTACTCATGGGGGGGCGGTGGTTTAGGTTTTTTTTTTTTTTTTTTTTTTTTTGAGACAGTCCAGCTCTAGCTGGCCTGGAATTCTCAAGATCAACCTGCCTCTGCCTCGAAGTGCTGGAATCAAAGGTTTGTACCACCATCTCCCCAACCTCCAAACTCATGGGATGTTTTAAATCTTTGCAAGACTAGGCCAATGTACTTTTATGTATATTTTACTTAGATCAGTTATGACCATTTTTTGCTTGTTTTTCTCGAGACAGGGTTTCTCTGTAGCCCTGGCTGTTCTGGAACTCTAGACCAGGCTGGCCTCCAACACAGAAATCCACCTGTCTCTGCCTCCCAAGTGCTGGGATTAAAGGCGTGTGTCACCACTGCCCAGCTGACCATTATGTTAATTTTACAAAAGATGTTATAGGTGGTTCGCTAGAAAGGAAGTTGAATTATCTGAATGTTTTGATCCCTAGCTACTTCAGCTTGTCCTCTGATCTCCATATGTGTGTAACACACATTTAAAAAGGTTTTATTAAGAGTTGGATCATCATAGCATAGGCAGCATGACCCCTCTGTCCTGAGAGGAAGAGAAAATGCTCAGCTTCAAAGTTCTTTTGTAGTTGTATATTGTCTCCATATATGTAACCTAGCCTATCAACACAGTCAATAAGATAGGAATAATTAAAGGTTGCCCTTGGAGCTGTGTGTGTGTGCTTGGAGGGATTGGTTTCTCCTGGATCTCACTTTGAAGGAACTCTTCTACAGTTAATGTGGGCAATGACTATCCTTGGCCAATGTCAGATTTCTGCCAAGCAGCCCCAAAAGCTCTCCACATTTCCCCAAACACTGTGACCTTGCTGGCATCTTATGTTTTCTGGTGATGTCTTCAGGAAGGATTTGGTCAGAATGGCCTTTATACTCTCAGTGCCAAATACCTCCCTTTAGCTTAGAGATATTTCAATCCTTCCCTAAGCAACCATGAGTGTCTCTAGTCTAATGCCTTAAGACGTTCACGTTTACTTATTTTTGTATGGTGGATATGGAATCCAGTTTTGATGCACACTAGGCAAACACTCTACCACTAAGGAGAATCCCAGAATGTTCCAGTTCATTATTTATACGGATTCACATGTAACCAAAGCTGGCTTACTCACTGTAGCTGAAGCTGATCCTGAATTCCTGATCCTCTTGCCTTCACCTCCAAATGCTGGGACTGTTGGCATGCTACTGCTTTTTTTTTAGCTTAGGGTCCAAACAAGTTGCTTCTTTCATTCCTTTGCTATTCATTAGAGAAAGCCGGCCAGTTGTTTCATAAAGCTTCCCATACTCTAAATTAGTCTATATCTGTTATGTAACATTGATTCTAGAAGTTCTCATTAAATAGAAGGCAGGAGTTACCGGAAATCTGGGAAATCAGGTCCCCTCTTAGAAGTGTTCCCCCAGTCATCTCCAGACAGTTTCTTTGTGCAGGTCTGACACTTCATAACTCTATAGACCAGGTTAGCCTTGAATTCAAAGATTCACCCACCTCTGACTCCCTAGGGCTGGGATTAAAGGTGTGGTCACCAAAGCCCCTTCCTTCTTAGTTCTTAGTTTAAAAAGAATTTAGTGATGGTTACAAACATGCCTAGGGATAAAAGAGTTAAGAACAAAACTAGTAGACACACCAAAACCTGCAGCCACCGAAGCAAGCAGAAAAATGGAAACAATATGAAGTGAAAGCAATGTTGCTTGAGACAGGGTGACACAGGTTAGCCTCCTGGTGGCAGACAGCCTCACAACCAGGAGGAAAGCATTAAAAGAAGTCACTGGCCGAAGCTTTGAATTGGGGGAGTTAAGTGTACTTAGGCTCTGCCAGGGTCTGAACGAAAAAGAGGAAGGAAAATAATTGTCCTCCTGAGTCAGATTTCAGAAAAGCTGACACAGCCAAACCTCAAGGGCTGATAAGGATTGGTCTGGGTGGGGTGGGGCAAGAATTCTGGGAATGAAAAGCATCTTATTTTTTGTGTGTGTTTGTGTTTAAGACAGGGTTTCTTTGTAACAGGCCTGGCTGTTCTGGAACTCACTCTGTAGATCAGATTGACCACAGACTCAGAGATCTGTCTGCCTCTGTCTCCCAAATGCTGGGATTAAAGGCCTGCACCACCACTGCCTGGTTGAAAAGCCATATTATTTTGAGAACCTGCCTTCTGAAAGAAAACCGAGGAGGAGTGGATCTGGGGGGTGGGAGGGAGGGACTGGGTAGAGAGAAGGGAGGTGGAACCGCTGTCTGGATCTAATCTATGAGAGAATAATTAAAAGCAAAACCCACTTTCCTAGGAGTGGTCCTTTAGTCCCTGAGCCAGCCTCTCTGGATTGACAAGTGAGACTAGAGACTGTCTCCACCTAGAGGCAAAGTCTGTTCTTTACAGCCTGTTGATGGTCCCCTGTATTTTTCTGTAAATAGGGGCAAAAGTTCTGACAATGTGTGCTTCTCATGCCACTAGGTGGCAGTACATACAGTGTGCTGGCTCCAAACACTCATTCGGGTCCTGGTCAGCCATTTTCTTTTTCTTTCTTTTTTCTTTCTTTCTTTCTTTCTTTTTTTTGTTTGTTTTTTGGGTTTTTTTGTTTTTGTTTTTTTGATTTTTTTTAGTGTTTTTTTTTTCTTTTTTCGAGACAGGGTTTCTCTGTGTAGTCCTTGCTGTCCTGGAACTCAGAAATCCGCCTTCCTCTGCCTCCCAAGTGCTGGGATTAAAGGCGTGCGCCACCACTGAGTCAGCCATTTTCAAATGGTCTAGACTACATTTGGCAACTGACAGGAAGCTCGACTATCTGTCCCTTTCTTGCCTATTTCACCCTGAAATTTAAAGCTTCAAAGATTCTCTGACCTTTCTCCACAGTTGTATGAAGACATTCCCATTATGCCCAGAGGAAAGAAACAAAGACACACACACACACACATGAATCAGCCTACAGGGCTGGCTTGCTATGCTGTTTATTGTCATTAGGTCAAATGCCCTATCCTGCAG